GAGCAATAAAAGCTCAGGTAATTCAAGCCCCGAGACTGGAAAAAAAAATTTTTTTAAAGAGTCTCATGGACTTTTCTGCTCCAGCTGGCTTCTAACTGCAATCCTCAGATCTCAGTCTCCTGAGTAGCTAGGATGACAGACCTGAGCCACTGGTTCCTGGCCTGATTGTGGATTTATAATAGGCATATTCAAGGCTCAAAGCTCATTGAATTATACACATAAGGGTGTACAGCTTTGGGGGTTTCAACTGACCTCCAAAAAAATGAAGGAAAACAAACATGAAACAAAGTCTCCAAGTCCAGAATCACCAAAGGACAAAGATGAAAGAGGGGGAGGAGAGGAGGAAAGTAAAGCACTAAAGTCAGTGCTACCCTCTTTTCTATTTACAGCACAGAATAGAAATTCCATGGAAGTACACGAAAATAAGTATATTACAGGTATCCCATAGTATAGATACTGTATTTTATAAAATATATTACATATAAGTGTGTATTTATTATATAATAAATTATACATGTACTTTTAACAGTGATAAGGTTTGATCTCAGTAGAGCTAAGAGGAACAAATGTTTGCCATGGGCACTGGCATTTGAGCTCTGCTTCCTGGCTACCATGCTGTGAGGGGCTCTCCTGTCACATACTCTCTGTGGCCTTGACACAAACACCAGAAACAGTGAGCCTCAATGACACTTTCCTTGCCTTAAGTTATGTATGGCAGCTTGGCAGAGCCACCACAGAGCCCAACAAACACACATCTAAGTATTCTCTCTTGTTCCTGAGTAAGGCTTTACATACTTTGGAGAGAAATGTACTAAAACACTGACTTAATTAAATATGAACTTTTCAATTTCCAGTCCTTAGGACCCGGTAAACACATAAGAAAGATTTCTTTGGCAATTCTTCCTAGAAACCCCATGTGCTTCCTTCCACTGCCATCTCCTCGACAGCTCCTCATGTGCCTCATCCCTTTCAGTCCAAGGTGCTGAGCTGAACTCTGCACTGTGGTGCAGAAGACAGTCTAACTCATCCGGGACAGGATCTGAAGCACTTGAGGATGGAAGTGGAGTTGGAGACAAGACCTCCAGATTCGGATCTATCCTCTGCCCATAGACAGAGGACCCTTCAGTTAATCTTAACCCTTCTGACAGCCACAGATACCTCATAACCCATAAGCCTTATGAATTGTTTCCTCAGATGTAGCTATTCTCACTGACACACAGGGCAGCAACAGAAAACTACCAGCACGAGTACATGGCTCAGCCCTAGTCACCTGTGACACTGTGTGTCCTCCAGCCCCACCCACAGCAGCACAGAGGTGGTGCACAGAGAGTCACGATGCACACTGATGGTCAGACTGTTTGCAAAATTCAATTGCCTCAGATCCAAGAGCAAGAGCCAAGGCACAGGCCACAGCTCATTTCTTGGATATTGGATTTGCTTTTGGCATTAGAATTATGACCAAGGAAAAGGGCCTGGGACCTGAAGGGAGAGCCCAAAGAACACAGAGCATTGCCTTTGGCAATGGAGCACAATGGGCAAGGAGCAGAAGGCCAAGCCACCACCAGCCAGCCAGCCAGATCCACAGGGCCAGCTCCCACTGACATCTAGGAGGTGACCCTAGGCAAACTTTCTTTTGCCAGGTTTCACTGGCACTCCACTACTGTGGGCAGAAAACATCTCAGGGGATCCGGTGGCTTTCCAGAACGAAGACTATTTGAGCAGCCCTTCCTGGCGGTTAGACATCAGCCAATATCTGGCATCCTAGGTCCTCACACAGGGAACGATGGGAGTCCGGCAAAAAAATCCATGGGTGCCCCAGTTTATGTGACTAAGGAGTGCAGTATGCGCAGACCCTCGTGGCTTATGGACACCAGCCAGTGTGCCCTTAGCGTATACTACGGTCCTCCAAGAAAATCTTCTCTATTTTGTCACCGAGGATCGGGCTGGGCACAGAACCTCTGAGTTTAGTGACTGGCAAATTTCCAGCCCTGGCCCGGTGTCTCCTCAGTGGAGGACAGAGGCCCTAAAAAAATCCTCCCTTGCCTTTTCGACAAAAGATGGCCACCTTCACACATCCTCCTGGCTAGAGAACACTGACAAGTACACCACCATCGCAGAGCCCCAAATGCAGAGGTGTGGAACGCGCAGAAAACCATCTATAGGAGCTCCTGTTTAGGGCACCCCAGGGGGTCATCCTCAAAGACCCCCAGTGGTTGCTTTTGAAGATCTAATCCGGCGAACCCATGGAGTAGACAGGAAAAAAATCCCATGGGGCTGCTGTGTCGGCCACCTTGAGGGAGGCCACCTAGGAGGAACAACTCGAAGACTGTCCCAGGTCAACGATGAAGGTCGTCACCCCGGAGGAACATCCCCGAAGACCACTGAGGTTTGTGGTGAAGTCCTGAGTGCGCTTTGAGAGGACAGAGCACCCCAAAGATCCTTGGGGCTGCTCTGTTGGCCACCCCAGAGGAACATCCTTGAAGACCATCTGAGATTTCTGACCAAGTCCTGAGTGAGTGTGGACAGAGAACTCCAAAGATCCTTGGGGCTGTTCTATCAGACACCCCAAATGAACATCCTTGGAGACCATCTGAGGTTTCTGGCGAAGTCCTGAGTGCACGTAGAATGGACAGAGCACCCCAAAGATCCTTGGGGCTGCTCTGTTGGCCACCCCAGAGGAACATCCACGCTGACCCACCTCGGTTGATGATGAAGGTCAGTTCACCCCGGAAGATCATCCACCAGACCCTCTGCAGTTGCTGATGAAGATCAAGTCACCCCAGAGGAACACCCGCACAGACCTTCCACACTTGCTGGCGAGGTCAGGTCACCCCAGAGAATCATCCTCAGTTGATGATGAAGGTCAGGTCACCCTGGAGAATCATCCTCAGTTGATGGAGGTCAGGTCACCCCGGAGAATCATCCTCAGTTGATGATGAAGGTCAGGTCACCCGGAGGAACATCTGTGCAGAACCTCCACAGATTTTAATATATACCAGTGTGCACTGCTTCCCATGTAGGGACTGAAACACCAACTGGGGCTCCTGCACTGGCCGCCAAGAAGCATCATCTGCAGAGTATCCTGGGTTGGTGATATCCAGTCCCCCTAAGTCCACACAGAGAGGATGCAGCAGCCCAAAAACCATCCATGGGGGCTCCTGTTGTGGCCACTCAGGAGATTCATCCACCAAGATCCTTCTGGATTTCAGGCCACGGAAGGACCTAGTGTACCACCTCCTCTGAGGCAGCGGCCAGATTCAGCACAAGTCCCCCCTTTGAGCAGCAACCCCTCAGCTCCTCAGGGAGCAGAGATGAAGACAGCATTACCACCATGGACATCCAGTCATCACCTGTATCCCCTATACCTTTAATTGAAAGCTGAGGCATTTGGAACCTGGCTGCCAGGAAATATTCAGCAAAGAGACTAAAATAATCAAGGACAAGGTGTCCTCATAGGTCCCTAAGACAATGTAATCTGACCCAATCCCCGCAGAGGCTCCAGACCTCCTGCCACCAGGCATAAGGCCACAGTGAAGGAAAATCCACTGCTCCTGGCCCACTCACACACCAAGACAGGAAAAACAGCGCAAGACGTCCCTAAGGCCTACCAGTGCTACTACACAAATCAAGAAGGGACAAGATTCAAATGCCCTACTAACAAAAACACCTGCCAGCTCTCCAACTGTTAAGGGCAAATCTGTTGTAAACACTTCCACATCAGCAGCAGATGATGTTCAATTGGACCGGTCCTCCAAAGATCACTTAGAGGATGTCCTTTGACATGAGTCCCAAAAGAGCTGAGCAACAAGCCACTGAACACCTGGCTGACAGGGTTGCAGCCAAGAAGCTGAAACCCAGCAAGGCTGCTTCCCCCACCAAGATTGGAGCCGAGCTCTCAAATCTCCGAACAGCAAAAGGAGGTACCTTCATAACCTAGGCTGCCCAAGCTACTTGGGAAGTAGAGGATTTAAAGCAAGACAGGACCACCTGCTCAGGAAGAGCACACAAGAAACTGAGAGCCCTCAGTCAGCTGAGGCTATATCTGCTGATATCCAGGCTGCAGCCTAGGACACTACAGTGGACAAGGCCACTGGTAGCACCAAGATCCCCGATTGAAAGGCTAGCCCCACAAAGTTAGCAGACAAACCCACTGGCCTTCTACCTCTTCAGGCTAAGGAATTAGCCCCACTCACTGTCCTCAGTGAACACAAATAAACATAAATATAGTACTGGAAGTCCCCAGGGACAAGTCAATATAATCTGAGATCTAAAGAACCTACACTACCCCACCATAACTCAACAACCAAATGTGTACTTCAAACCCTGCACACTACCTACCATGTTTATTTAAGCCAGAGAATTGGAACAGATTAAAGCACATGCGCATGATCTTAATATTACAGGCATTAGTATTCATGCCCCAATGGAGAAATCACAACAACAATGAGACCTTGAGTAAAACCTCAAGATGAAACTAAACCAAGAGAAAAACCACAAGATGTGAGGAATTCTAGAGCAGTTACAAGAACTAAATCTCGATGCAGTCTGAGTGGGTGCCAGCCCCTCTCCCCAGTCCAAACTCCTCCATCTCAAGTGAACAACTGAATCCCTATGAGTAGGTGTATTCTAAGGACTTACTTATTGAGTACCCACAAATCAGACAGAGTCACCAAACCAAAAAGTCACCTATCAAGTCTGCAAACCACACAAATTTTCTCAGCTGAAAGACGATTTGCAGCAGAAGAGATTGGATGCACTAAGGAAAATATCTGTGCTGGAAAAAGAACTCCTTCAAAACCAGCTGCAACTAAACAAGAAGCAGCTATGAAGAAATTTTACTACAAATATAACACATCCTTTCTGGAACATTCATTCAGTCACAAGCAATGAGCCATATCGAAAAAATTCCGATCAGCCAACAAAAGATTTTCTATAACATGAAATGACAGAGGTAAAGAAAAAGAATTGTAACATACAGATATAATGAAACAAACACATAATTTAAAGAACAACAGTTAAAAATTATTAAAGCTTACAGCTGAAGATAACCATGTTTTCCCCCACTTCATTACACATTAGAAATGACCTCACAGACATATCCCGGGATGTGCTTTCCCAGTCTCCTCGCCCCTTCTCAATCTCATCAACTTAGCCTGATTAAACATCACAGCCCACGTTCTGTCAACTGTATAGCCAAACACATCTCGGTCTAAATGGAGGAGATATCTATACCTGACCCACAAAAGCTCATGTTTATCGCAACGCAGAAAGTATTCAGCTCCTAATCAAGAGTCCATATAGTTTCACAGTTCCAGTATTGCTCAAAAATTCAAGTCCAAATTTCTTCTGAGACTCAGGACAAACTCTTAGTTTTGAGGCCCTGAAAAAAAATAAAAAAGTTATATATTTCTTTTTCTTTTGTTAGTGTGGGGCTTGAACTCTGGGCCTGGGCGCTGTCCCTTCAGCTCTTCAGCTCAAGGTAAGCGCTCTACCACTTGAACCATAGAGCCATTCCGGGTTTTTCTGCTTATGTGGTGCTGAGGAATCGAACCCAGGGCCTCATGCATGCAAGGCAAGCATTCTACCACTGGGCCACCTTCCCAGCCCAGTTATATATTTCCAATGTGTACAAATACATGATGTGTACAAACACACATCATGAAAATTACCATCACCAAAGTGCTGAGTTATGATATAGGAAGAATAGAACCAAAACAAGACTTAGATAATGGCAGTAGGATCATTAAATACAATGGCTATGTAACCATCATCCAGAGTCTATGGTAACTTCATGTAAGTCCCAAGAGTTCGGGGCAGCTCTGTTCCCAAGCTCACCAGGTGCAGCCTGTGTTTTCTTTTCCTTTAGCCTATACTATTCCTTGTCTGTGGCTCTCCTTGACTGATACTAATTTCCTGCATTCTCCATTATATCTTCAGGGTCAACCTCGTTTCTTCCTGTGACATCTATGTGGAAGCCTTTGTGTCCTAACTGTTCCATTGCAAATGCCAGCATGGCTAGCAATGTGGCACCAATGCAAAGACCTGCTGGAGTTCAAGCAGTAGCTGGGTTCTAAAAGATCATGGCTTTAGCTGTCCCTGAATACCTGGATGGCCAACCAAGGGAAATACTTCCCTAGCCGCCTTCATGAACAGACACCGGAGTATGTACGCATGTGCTCCCCCACCCCTGCCTCTCTCTCTCTCTCTCTCAGATGTCCTTTTCTTTTTTTTGCCAGCCCTGGGGCTTGAACTCAGGGCCTGGGCACTGTCCCTGACCTTCTTTTGCTCAAGACTAGCACTCTACCACTTGAGCCACAGCACCACTTCAGGCTTTTTCTATTTATGTGGTACTGAGGAATTGAACGTAGGGCTTCATGCATGCTAGGCATGCTCTTTACCACTAAGCCACATTACTAGCCAGCATGTTCTTATCAATGAATTCGACCATTTCAGGCTTGAGCTTGCCTATGGGTGCATTCTACACATTCATAACATTCCCTTAATCTCTTTCTTTCCTATTGCCTTTTTTTTCATCTTACAATATTCATTATATATATGACTAAAGTACCTGGTAATAAACATGCCACAGCCCCCCATGCTGATTTGTCTTAAAATTTCCTCTGTCCTATCAACTAGTCTAGCATCTCTATATTTACCCTCACTCACATGGAGTTTCAGGACATGGACAAAACAGCAACAAGCTCTGTACTAGAGTATAACACATATGGCTTTGAATCCAATTCCCAAGAGGCCGCATCCTCCTAGGAGACATCATACCAACTCTTTACTGTCTACGTCCCCCAGCAGCATTGTGCTCCTGGGTACCCAACAGAATTCTCCATTAGGCTGTACTTACAGCATTTCAAGCCTTTCCTAGACAGTATCCAAAACATTTCCAAATTCTTCCCACCATATATTTGCAGAGACTTCAAATCACATTATCAGGAATAGCAAAATGTTCACTCTCAGTACCAATTTGGTATGTCAATAACTTCTGTCACTGTAACAAATACATAAGAAAGGCATTTATTTATTCATTTATTTACGTTTTGCCAGTCCTGGGGCTTGAACTCAGGGCCTGGGCCCCGTCTCTGAACTTCTTTTGCTCAAGGCTAGTACTCTACCACTTGAGCCACAACACCACTTCAGGCTTTTTCTATTTATGTGGGACTGAGTAATTAAACCCAGGGCTTCATGCATGCTAGGCAAGCCCTCTACCAGTAAGCCACATTCCAAGCCCTGCATTTTTATTTTTAGTTCATAGTGGCACAACGGACTTCTTTGTTCTAACTCCCATGAGGAGTTAGAACCGCATAGCAGAGAGGCCTCTGGATGAGGCTGCTTACCTCAGGGAAGCCAGAAAAGTAAGAGAGATGTAGAGAGGAAAGGAAAAGGGAGAGGAAGTCAGGTAAGAGATTTGCCAGGCATGTGCAAAACCCTTGGTTTGATCCCCGGTGCTCAACAATAACAACAACAACAACAACACAGCTTAAATGTTGTGGGTTTATTTCTTGTTCCATGAACTCTTCACATCATGCTCCAGCTTCTCATACTGCAGGCCTGAAAGAAAATAATGCATTGGATTTCAAGTCCCTAGAGGATTTGTAATTCCTATTGCACAATCATAAATGGGTTTTTTATTTTCTATATTTGTCTGTGACCTCAGTTAACAGGAATCTGCCTTTAATTGAACAATATATGTCCTGAAGTCTCTGAGCCAAGCAATTTACACTTCACCCTAGAGAATTTTAAATTGTCCCCATGGGGGTTTTAGGATACTGCCAGTTTCTTTAACTCCACTATGGCCCATGACAAATTCATCTTTTCTAGTCACAGTACACAAATGGCACCATCAGTCACATCTAATTTAGAGAAAAAATGTTCACACACACACAGTCTTAAAGCCTTAAAATAAGGGGGAAAAACCGCAATGTGAAATGAAGGAGAAAGCAGAAGTATAATAACCCATGTCCTCACAAACCATCTTCTGATTGTCAGCTGTCTTCTAATGTGTTGTGTTTTCCCTGTCCTGATGAAACTCAGAACTAGATGATCCCCTGAGAAAATGCTACTTCTAATTCAGTGACACTTATTTTTATCTTTTTCTGAAATTTTAAAGCAGTACCGAAAGACTTTTGCACAATGAGTAGCAGGTAAGTCCTCACTCAACACTTAAAAATCTTTATTGTGAGCTGGGCGCCAGTGGCTCACGCCTGTAATCCTAGCTACTCGGGAAGCTGAGATCTGAGGATCGTTTCAAAGCCAGCCCAGGCAGGAAAGTCCTGAGACTCTATCTCCTAAAAATCACTCAGAAAACCGAAAGTGGCTCTGTGGCTCAAGTGGTAGAGCACTAGCCTTGAGCTAAGGGACAGCGCCCAAGCCCAGAGTTCAAGCCCCACCACCACCAAAAAAAGGGGGGGTGGCTGGGAAGGTGACTCAGTGGTAGAGCACTTGCCTTGCATGCATGAGGACCTGGGTTCAATTCCTCAGCACCACATAAGCAAAAAGAAAACAGCCGGAAGTGGCGCTGTGGCTCAAGTGGTAGAACGCTAGCCTTGAGCTGAAGACCTGAGGGACAGTGCCCAGGCCCAGAGTTCAGGCCCCACGACCAGACCCCCCCCCAAAAAAAAAAAAACAACAACAAAACTCATTAGACATGCAATAGTGGCTCATGTCTGTAATCCCAGCTAATCAGGAGGCTGAGATCTGAGGATCACCATTCAAAGCCAGCCCAGACAGGAAACTCCATGAGACTCTTATCTCCATTAAACCACTCAGAAAAACTGAAGTGGCGCTGTGGCTCAAGAGGTAGAGAGCTAGCCTTCAGCTGAAGAGCTGAGGGACAGTGCCCAGGCCCAGAGCTCAGGACCCATGACCGACCAAAAAAAAAAAAAAAATCATTATTGTGGTTGATGCTTAGGAATTATATAGGAGAATCAAATAGAAGATTTATGGCATTAGCAGATAAACATAAATGTCTTCCCATCATTAATGTGATTCTGTAAGAATAAATGGCATTTAAATAACGTCCAAGTGTACTAATTTATTGAACTTAAAATGTAACATCGATACGTCAACAATATGTGGCCTATTCTTAACACAGCCTCACACTATTTCTTAGCTTTCCCATTTCTGCGCAACCCATGCCCTTACATCCTTCTGGCATCACCATCTACTACTCTGCTGCCAGGTGGAATCTTCCAGTTCAATCTCCCCTGGCTGTGAGCTTGTGGCTCAGGGCCTGTCTAGTTGCTCACTCCTGGACTCTACATAGCCTTCTTTCTCTCTGCCTTCTAGTTTTGGTTCAAAGAGTATCTTCTCAGAAATCCTTCCTTTCCTTCAAGGTTACCATTATCCTTTTATTACTCTTCTTTATTTAACCCAATTTGTGGCTTTGAACCGTAACATTTTCCTAACATGTCATACCTCTTTTGTCCTATGGCATATATCATTATCTGTTATTAGTGCTTCCTGAAGGAGCATATGTTCCGTGGAAATGAGAACTTTGGCTTTGATCACATAGCCAATTCCCCTGCACCTACTATACGGCCCTAACATAGCAGGCACTCCATAAATATCTGTTGTCTTACTACTGCTATTTGTGGTACACATCCTGTCTAGAATAATTCTCTCTTTACTCCTTCCTTCTCATGACTTTACTTCCTTTATCATTTAGTAAGTAGAATTCCTGATATGGCCCATAAGTACCAAATTTTCAATGAGATGTGTCCTCTTATTGAAGTAATAATACATACATATATATATATATATATATATATATACACACACATATTTTTTTTTTTGCTAGTCCTAGGGCTTGAACTAAAGTCCAGAGCATTGACCCTGAGGTGTTTGGTTTTTTTCCCTCCCCTCAAGGCTACCATTCTACCACTTGATCCACAGTGCCACTTCCAGCTTTTTCTGTTTATGTGGTACTAAGGAATCGAACCCAGAGCTTCATGCATGCAAGGCAGGCACTCTATCACTAAGCCCCATTCCCAATCCTGAAATAATTTTTTTTCTCTCCTCACAATCCTTTATTTTTCTTAAAATACGTTATTTATTGTAAAAATACTGTATGGAGGGGTTACAGTTACATAAATAAGGTAATGAGTACATTTCCTATCGAGCATCTTTACCTCCTCCTTTGTTTTTCCCCTACCATTCCTTCCCTCCCCACCTCCCCAACTCCTCCCTCCCTCCCCACAACAAGTTATAAAGTTCATTTTCAAAAATGTGTCTTGTACATCTCATTGTTACAATGAGTCAATCTGTATCCCTATTTAAGCATTTTGCTTTTTCCCTTCCCCTCTCCCAATCAGAAAAGTGTATATACAAGATTCAGTACAACGGAATCAAAGACAGTGAAAAAAGGGTTATACCATGGGGAAAGAACATTCAAAAGAAACAAAAAAATCATATATTACATTGTAAGTACTTTAAAAACAATAGCAAGAAAGAAAAAACCACTTATGATCCTGTCTTGGGGTTCATTTCACTTAACACCATCTTATATGGTTATATATACATAGCTTTTGACCTTTTCTGCTTGTCCTAGACATACACTAGTTATTGCAAATAAGGGAAATCATGGGACCTATGTATCTTTGGGCCTGGCTTACTTCACTTAATATTTTTTCCAAGTCTTTCCATTTCCTAGCAAATGGAGCTGATGGAGGCATAGAATTCCATTGTGTGTATATATATCACATTTTCTTCATCCATTCATCTACTAAGGGGCATCTGGGTTGGTTCCCTACCTTAGCTATGGCAAATAATGCTGCAATAAACATAATCGTGCTGGTAGCTTTAGTATATACCCTTGTTTGTGATCATTTGGGTAAATGTCCAGAAGTGGGATTGCTGGGTCGTAGGGGAGCTCTATGTAGTCTTTTGAGAAACCTCCATATTGCTTTCCAAAGTGGCTGAACAAGTTTACACTCCCACCAACAATGCAGTAGGGTTCCCTTTGGCCACATCCCCTCCAGCATCTGTTGTTATAAGATTTCTTGATTATAGCCATTCTAACTGGGGTGAGGTGGAATCTCAATGTTGTTTTGAGCATTTCTTCATGTGTCTATTGGCCATTCATATTTCCTCTTCAGTCTTTAGCTCACTTATTTATTGGGCAATTGTTTGAGGATTTGTTGTTGGGGGATTTAATTTTTTCAATTCTAAGTATATTTTAGATATGAGACCCTTGTCTGTTGTATGGCTAGTGAAGATCTTCTCCCAATCCGTGGGCTTTCTATTGATCTTGCTAGCTATGTCCTTTGCCATGCAGAAGCTCTGCAGTTTCATTTGTCCAAACTTTCTTTGATTTGTTTCTGCCAGCCCACAAATAATTTATCTTAAACTTTGGACTCTCTGTCTCACTCTCCCTGCTCCCTCCCTTCTCCCCCCTCTCCCTCTTTCTCTCCCTCTCTGCCCTTCTCTCTCCCTCTCCTTTCCCTCTTTCCCTCCCTTTCCCTTGCCCCCCTCTCCACCCTCTCTCCCTCTTCCTCTCCCTCCCCCCTCTTTCTCTTTCTCTCTGTCTGTCTGTCTCTCTCTCTCTCATCCTGGGGCTTATACTCAGGGCCAAGACACTGTCTCTGAGCTTTTTTGTTGAAAGCAAACACTATACTACCTGGGCCACAACTTCAGTTCCAGCTTTTTGGTGGAAAATTTGAAGAGAAGAGTCTCATGGACTTTCTGTATGGGCTGGCTTGAAACCTCAATTCTAAGATCCTAGAATCCTAAGCCTCCTGAGGGGCTAAGATCTTAGGATTGAGTGTGAGCCACCAGTACCCAGCTATCTGGCCTTTCTCTATCCTTACATTTAACACATAGTCCTGCCCTCACAAGTCCACCGAATCCTTGTGTTATTAAGGTTAAAACCGCAGATAACTCCAGTAAATAGTCATTGCTAGGTATTATATACTTTGCCTCATTTATATTTTTTTAGTTCTTATAATAACCTAATTAGCTAATAGCTCTGTTGTAATTTTTAAAAATCATATT